GGGGGCGGCCGGGGAGGGTGCGTGTAGGTGTGTGGTGAGGGGTGGCGGGGGAGCCCCGTGCGCCCACCTGCCCTGCGGCCGGGCCCGCCGTCGGGCGCTTCCTGACCCGCCTGCCATGGGTGCGCTTGTTGCTTTCGCAGATGAAAGAAACCATGATGAACCAAGAAAAGCTCGCCAAGCTGCAGGCCCAAGTACGCATCGGTGGCAAGGTAGGAGCCGCCTCTCCACCCTGCCCTCGGGACTGCGTGTCCCTACACGCACACCAGGCCTAGCACGAGGGGTCCTGAAAAGCAGGCTGGGGAGCAGCCTTAAGTACTCTCAGCTTGGCTTGAATGGCCTCAGGGGAAGCTGTGCTGCTGCAGGGATCTCTAGAGTCACCGCTTCTACGGAACTATGTAGCAGCTGAGCCTCCAGCCTTTTCTCTTTGGGTTTGTTATCAGATGTTACCGCAGACTTGCAGCCTGTATTCTTGTGTGGGCTATTTTAGAAGGCATGTAGGATTTGAAGTGAGTAGACCTTGCAGCACGTGAGCTCAGGTGTAGTTTTCGTAACAGATTATAGATGGTTATGTTCCAAACTCTCATCAGAAATCTTTAAGGTGCCCGTGGCTGTTTTCTTTTACCTTTTAGAGCAAAGCTGGACATTATGTCCTTGTCATACTCTTGTAATTGTAGATGAACATGCTCAAAGACCTTTTTATTTTGTTATGACATCTGAATATAGATAGCTGTGTGATTACTTACTATCTGAAAGTAAAAAAGTATGTTTAATATAGTTGTATGGTAGTAAACATTTTAATTACAGTGTTAGTTCTAAGGCAAGAATTTGTTAGTAATTTTGTTTTATACATGAGGAAGAGTACGCATAATATTTTAGAATACAAACTATTCAACAGAACTCTTGCTGACAGTTTTTCCAGGAGCTTTCATTCCTATGTTGAATTTTTTTTTGCCTTTAGCTGGAGAATTAGGCAGCCTTAAATCAGTGTTAATGTAGTAATTAACTGGCTTGGTGATTTTGTGTATTCTTTGTATGAGCTACTGGTTAAGCAGAGAAATGCTGTATTATATGAATGATCGTGTGCATGTTACCAGCGCGTGTTTATTGACTCTAGAGGCTTTTAATGTTTGTCACGTAAGAGCAGGCATTCAGATTACAGCTCTTACAGCTTTCTGGTCAATGTAGGTCTTTTGGAGACATTACGCAAAGCTTAGAATATGCTCGTGGTACTGTCATTCAGTTTTAAAATTGGCCTGTGAAATACTTTGAATGCCTGAACTTGACTCTTTATTTGTTTTATAACTGGAAATTATTACTGGTATTCTTCATGGCATTGTTACCGTATAAGTTGAGAAGGGTGTGGAGGAGACAAAGGGGGAAGAGTCACTTCTCCTTGTGAGAAAAGGTTGCACATTGCCTCTGCTGGAAGATTTTCATGAAGTTGCAAGGCTGCAGATCTTACAAATAAGCTAAATATGATGTTTAGGTAGAGGACTGTTGTAGTACTTTATGTGAAACTTGAGATTTTTGTGTAGAATATAGCTACAGCTACATGTCATGGCTCTTCTTCCAAACCCTTTTAGAGGAGTGGCAGGTGAGTCTGTAGTACTCCATTGGTGGCCTGCTGTACCCACTCCTCTTTATTATAGAGGTAGAGGGGTGTTCATGCTGTTCAGCATGTCTCGGTGTGTTCGGGATTGAATTTGCTTAGTAAAAACCTGTGAACTTCAGAAGCTTAAATCTGTGGAGATGAAAGCAAGAGCTGTTCATTTAAATTAAACTCAGGTTGTCTGAGTTTCGATATTTGTTTAATATGGGTAAAAAGGAGGTACATTTTCCTACATAGCCTTTGATTCAAGATACCACTTTTTGAAATTTACTGAGAGGTCTTTTGTCCAGAGAGACTTAATGTATGCCTTATGTGGCTTAATTCCTGGGTAGTCAAGGTACTAAAATAAAGACATTTCTGTTATTTTAGTAGTTTTTCAAATAGCTGTGTGTGCCAACCTGATAGTAGCAGGGAATGAATATCAAGCTTTCTAGACAAATGACTAAACTTTCGAGCTGTAGTCTTCTAAGTGTTAGTTTTCATGTGAATTTGTCATTAACGTTCCTCATTGTTTGTAACTGGATTATGTTAGAGGTGTTAGTGTCCAGCCAGCTTTCTGAGTTTTACCAGTTAACTCAAAAGGTATTGCAGCTATTTATATGGCCAGGCAGCAACACATTTTTTTATTGCTAGCATGTGGCAGGTGGACAGTTGGAGGAGGAGGGCTTAGATTAGTAGTTACAGTGTGTCAAAAAGGAGCTCAGTTTCACCTATTCCTAGACATTTTATGTCAGATTTTACTGAAGCCTTATGACTGTGCAAGGAAGTATAGAATGACTTTCTGCTTTTTCATAGGTATAGATATCTTCTAATAGGGGATGGTTATTTCCCTGGAGAAATCTAGAGCTCTGTGTCTGTAGGGGAACTTACCTTTGCTTGTTCTGCTTTGTCAACAGGGGGGGGTCTGGAATACTATATAGAAGTATTTTTTAAAACATATTTATAAAATATTTTGGGAAAATAAGTGTTCTTTGAACATGTAAGTCCATCAGATGGGAGATATCTATTTGGAATAAAAATTGAATATTTTGAGTTTTCTCATGTTCATTTGTTAGTGATGTGTTGATAACTTTATGGCCTCTGACTGTTACCGAAATTTGGCTACAATTTAAGAAAGATGATCTAAGGAAAAATTCATATGCTTCAGAAATTACCTAAAACTGTGCTTATTTTTCAGTTTTATGCCTATGATAACAGACAAGGGTAAACTTGCAATTTTTCTTTTCTAAGATGCTGCAGAATCCCTGTAAGAATTGTGGAATAAATGTTCTCTGGTGCATTCCTTCCTAAAACCTCATGCTTGTCACAGACATGCAAAGCTTGCCTTTTAGCAAGAGAAAGACTGCTGCAGTGCAGTTGGAGGGGTGGGGTCACGTGCACTCTTAACGCAGAAGTAGAACTTTCTATGTTAAGTTGTAGATGTCTGCAGAGTAGTTATACAGCCCTGGGGATTAGAGTTTGTGAATAACTACTTAACTATTAATTTGTAACTTTTTTTTTTTTTGCAAAGGGTACTGCCCGCAGAAAGAAGAAGGTTGTCCACAGAACTGCTACAGCAGATGACAAGAAGCTTCAGTTTTCATTGAAGAAACTAGGAGTCAACAATATTTCTGGAATTGAAGAGGTAATTCCTTGAAAGGAAAAAATACATTTCTGTATAGAAATAGAAAATGTATCAAAATCAATTTCCTGTTAAGTAACATCCTAAACTTGTCTGTAAATTATCAGTAGGTCTTTATTGAGCTTTAAGAACTTCAATTTCATGTTAAATTGAAAAATCTTGCTAAACTGCTTCAAATACTGGATTTTTCTTCTTGCAGGTAAACATGTTTACCAACCAAGGAACAGTCATTCACTTCAATAACCCTAAAGTTCAGGCATCTCTGGCTGCTAACACTTTCACTGTCACTGGCCATGCTGAGACAAAGCAGCTGACAGAAATGCTTCCTAGCATCTTAAACCAGCTCGGAGCTGACAGTCTGACCAGCCTGAGGAGATTGGCAGAAGCCCTCCCCAAGCAACGTAAGTTGAAACTTGAATGCGTTTCATCCTGGCAGCTGACGTGAGACTTTTTTGTATAGCAGCAGTGAAATTCAGTGCACTCTTGCTATCTGCAAGCATATTATAAAATGCTTATAAAGAAATGGAACTCTTAGATCTTATTTATAGCTCAAATCCAGTGTCAAGTATAACCAAATAAAGCAGAGGCACCTGTTAGTGTATCTTGCAGCTGGTCTAAGACTGGAAAGCTGTAGCCAGCCTTGATTTTGTGGTATTTTACTTCTTGATGTGGCTACCATGTTTTGGCATGCCTCATTCATTAAAGCTAGGTGGGTGAGTTACTCTGGAAGAGTTAGATAAACTTCAGGTATGTCTGTTTTTTGACACTTTGAGTAGAAACATAAGTAATGGGGAAAGGGACTTGTGGACAGGCATATTGCAACTTCTTTGCTGCCTCACAGGTTTGGTGAAGGTATTTCTTGCGTGGACTTTTTGATAGCTAGGAGGGAATTATACAGTATTTGTAAAGAAGTAATGTTATAATTTCTGTGTGTGTAGAACATTGTAGAGAACAGGACTGGTATGAGCATTAAGTTAGATACACCAACTTCCTATTCCACCCTTAAATTAGTAAGAGTACAGGAACACTTGTTCTTCTTAAAGCTGTGTGGGAAAAGTACAGGAGGGACTTAAGTTATGTGGTGTTTGGAAAAGGTGCTACTGCTACAGAGTGGGAATTAGAGTGAAAGACAGGCTTGCTGACACAGGAAACATTCCTCGTGTCCTGCACGTATTGTCTTCTTACTTTTCTGAAATATCTTAAGCCCATTCCTTCCAAGGTACAGAACATCATAAACATAGAGCAAATAGGAGAAGTGTATAATTGTGTCCAGTTTCTGATAGTTCTGAACTTGATTGTTACATTTTTTCTTCCTGCGCTTTGCTGCCAACATGGCAGCCTCTGTTTCCATTCCTGAAGTTGATGATACTTCCCTCCTGTCAACTTCCCACTGAAAAAATCCTGCTAGAAGTAGTCTTCAGGAGGTGGGGTAAACTGCTGCTTTCCCCATGGAGCTCAGGTCCTTCCTTGTTAATGTCACCTGTGTGGTTTTCCTGTGGTAGCAGTAGGGCTTGAAAGAAAAAAAAAACCCCAAACTTTAAGGATTTAAAATGATCCTCACAGATCTCTCTTCTCATAACAAGGTGGGTATATTCTGGATAAGCTAAATAGTGCAGTTTTAATATTAGGGAAGCTTGTTTAAAGTGCTTGCTTTGTATGACCTTGTAAATGGCTATTCCTTTCCACTTTGGGTGGATGCCTTTGCACAGAACTTTCCATTCAGCATTGTCTGCTAGATTTGGAAGCCTGACATCGAAGAGTGAAGTGTCTGTGATGATTGCATTTGCAGGTGCTAAAGTAAACTTAGTCTGGTCTTGGGGACGAGAGACAATGCAGACAATTTAGGAGGAAATAACATGGTTTGCTTTTAAAATGTTGTATTTGACACTAAGATGCACTTAAGCTGCAACAGCTTTCTGCTGTTAAAAAAAAAACAAACAGGAGGGTTAGTGGTGACCTTGTCCCAAGCCCTTTCAGACCAAAGTTTATGCATTCATCTGTTTTGGTTCTCTAGAAATCGGGATACAGGTCTAGTATGAACCCATCTCTTTCCTCGTGCTTGCCTTGAAAACTGAGAAGGATTAATTAGGATAAAACTGAGGTGGTAGAGAGCATGAGACAGCTTACCCTTGGTAGTACAGCTAAGAATAGCAGTAAAAGTAGTGGCACAGTCACCCAGGGACCTGAGATACCTATTCTTAGCATTATACTGCTGCAGATGCTCATTGGTCTGCTACTGTGGACCTGGTTAAGTCTCACTAGCTCTGGCAAACACAATGGGAATGGTTAAAAAATTACTGACTCAGCAGAGATGTGGACCAGAACACTTGGTTACCTCAGCCACCTAAGTGTAAAATTGTGCATCCAGTTCCGTATTCCTCTGACTTTGCCAGGGAACAATAGAGTCTTTAAAGTACGTCCTGGTTTTGGCTGGGATAGAGTTAATTTTCTTTCTAGTAGCTGGTATAGTGTTATGTTTTGTGTTCAGTATAAGAAGAATGTTGATAAGTAGTGTTTAGATGAAGTCAAAGATTTTTCAGCTTCTCATGCTCAGCCAGCAAGAAGGCTGGGAGGGGACACAGCCAGGGCAGCTGACCCAGACTGGCCAGAGGGGTATTCCATACCATGTGATGTCATGCCTACTGTATAAATTGGGGGGATTTGGCGCTGCTTGGGAACTAACTGAGCATCGGTCAGCAAGTGGTGAGCAATTGCATTGTACGTCACTTGTTTAGTGTATTTTAATCCTTTTATTAGTATTGTCATTTTATTATTATTATTATCATTATTAGTGTCTTCCTTTCTGTTCTATTAAACTGTTCTTTTCTCAACCCACGAGTTTTACCTTTTTCTTTTCAATTCTTTCCCCAGTCCCACTGGGTGGGGGGGATATGAGCGAGCAGCTGTGTGGTGCTTAGTTGCTGGCTGGGGTTAAACCACAACAAACTACCTCTAGTCATGTGTGTCTGCCTGCAGCTTCACAATTACACCTCAGTTTTCCTTGAAGGCCTAGGATCATAAGGTCCTTTCTTTTCCTTAAAACTTGGTGATGTAAAATATGTAAACCTTGACAAGCCAAGGTCAATAAACCAAGCTGCTTTTAAGAGAAATTGGTAAAACCAGTCTCTGCACTTGTAACTGAAAATGATTACCATGTAGGGCACTCAGTATACCTAGATAGAAGATGATGACTAGTAGGCTGGTTTAGCATGTGTTTTCTCATTTCCCCGCTGGGCTGTTTGACCATTATTGGTAACAAAGGGAATGTGAACTTCCTAGGTTTAGTTCAAGATTTTTATTCAGCAAGGGAACTGGGTAAAGCATTGCTGTTTAGCTCAGAATCTTTGATAATGTTTTCAAAAAACACAAAGCAAAACAACTAGTCAAGGTGCCTGGGATGAGCTTGATTGATGCTTTTGAACTACTCTCTTGCAGCTGTGGATGGAAAAGCACCACTTGCTACTGGTGAAGATGATGATGATGAAGTTCCAGGTAAGAACAGGCATGCAATGGAGGAAAAGGAAATGAATTTTGCTGAGAGATAACACGTGTAGCGTAAGATTGGGCCAAGGATGGTAAGAGTATTGACTAGTCACTTGCTGTGACAGAATTTCTGTGGGCAGATTATTTAATTGTTTTCAGACACCATGAGAGACTTACTGGTTTGAGCTGGAATTTTTGTTCTGTGTAGAAGTAATAGCTATGGCTAAGATAATTATTTAATATTCAATAGGAAGGGTGGGAAGAAACTACCTTCTCAGTATCACTTTGACCAGTTTTGGGTATAGTGGAGTTAAATGCGCTTAGAATTGTGCTTTATAGTGAACCATCCAAAACATGCTTGGTTGAGCAAGAAGAAAGACCCATGAAGCTCTTGAGTTACTCGGTCTGTATTTTATAAGCTAAAAGGTTTTTTTTATGTTGTAAGCACTTGATATGAAGTAGAACTTTGGAAAAAAAAACCCAAAACATTTGGTAAAGCGGAAGTGTGTCAAACTAATTTCAACATTCTTTTTCTAGATCTTGTTGAAAACTTTGATGAAGCTTCAAAGAATGAAGCAAACTGAACTAAGTGTCACTTTCTGAATAAAGTTAAAACTTGAAGAAGCTACGTGGAGCTGCTATTCTACATTTTCGACTGCTTTGATTTATTCTTATTTCCTGATGAGATCTCAAGACCTGTGATACTTGGAAACTCCTTGAACCTGCAGCTCTTTAGTTACTGCTTGTACACAATATTATTTTTGTGGCCTGATTGAAAAAAACTATGCTTTGAAATAAGTAAGATTGCTAACGAATCTCTGCCTAGACACAATTTTTGAGTAACTTGTATACAAGCAAAACCTCATCTTTAATGACCTTTGGCATATAATAAAAATATTAAAGAAACTCTGGTGTTGCTTCTTGTCAGAAAAGCAGGAAAAAAATTGGCTATAAATATTAAACAGTCATAAAAGGTCTTGCTTTTCTACAGAGCATCTTTCTTGTGCTCTGTTAGAGAACTGTCTTCTAAAAAAAATTTTCTATGCATAATGGTCCATTTTGGACTTAATTGGTGAATTCCCAGTGTTTGCAGGTCAGAGCTACCTACAGTGTAAGTCACATTGTAATCTACTGAATTTAAGAAATTGATCTGTATTCTAGAAATAATTATTGGTGGTTTAATATAACATAAAATGTGCAAGTTGAGAGCGAGCTTTGCTTGGCCTTGAAGATCAGCGGTAAGTTGTTGGCATCTTGGGAGATCTAGATACTCATGTTAGATTTTTATCTTCACAGAGTGTTTGATAGGTATTTCCAGGGTTTAACTATTTAGTGAGTTAAATAATACTTTCCCAGTATTTTAATTTTACTTACGTGAAAATGTCAGTTATGTGGTGGGGGAATGAAGTATAGGGAGGAGAAGAAGCCTTCATAGAAGCAATAATGGCTCTTAAGTCTGTATTTAGCATCTTCAGATCTATTAACTAATAATTATATTTGGATGTTTCAGGAATATGTGCTTCCTATTGCTTTTGTGTGTTCCAGAGAAAAAAAGAGACCTTGTTTTTTGGGCACAAGGAAGAATTTTTAAGTTCCAGACCTTTGCATAGCTGGAGCTTCCAGGGGTGAGGGCTAAACTTCATCTTTGGAAGTCTTTGGTGTTAACGATGGATCAGATAGCTTGCACAACAGAAGCAAAGCTAGGCTAGAAGAGCACTCAACTATCAGCCTTCTAAGGTTGTCTCTAGAGCAAATACTTCTGGAAGTGGAAATTCATCATGACTTGTGCAGGATAAAATTCAGAGTAAAACTTTGCTATCGCCATAACAAATTTCTCCTTGTGTCTGGGAAAAGGTGGGGCATTGTCTGACTTGCCAAGCATGTTTGTCATGGTGTAAGTTATTGCTGTTGGGAAGCAGTGGAGGAACTCGTTCAAGCTGTGCAACGCCTGTGGTTTGAGGTAAGACAGCAGTCTGATGTGATCATGACATGGCTGAAGTCAGGTGCAAGAACTGACAGTAACAATTTCAGTTTACTTGTCTCAGTTTGCAAGTACTTTATTAGTAAATTACACTTTTAGCATTGAATTAATTGAAGTGCATTCATTAAATTGTGGCAATAAGGCAGAAAAACTGAACTATGCCGATTTGAGTTTGGAAGCGAGGATGGTCACTTTAAGCTAACGGCCCTGTAAAAGGTAAAAACCAAATTCTACACAGTTGTTTACCCCACATCCTATGACCTGTCAAGTCAATAAATGCATGCTGATTTTTCTGAGAAATAATGTCTCACCCATCCTGTGGTTCAAATGTGTAAGTCCTCAGAAATAACTTCCTTGAAGCCACTGTAGCCCTTGCTTATGAGATGTTTCATACTGCTTTCTGTGTCATGAAATGACTTAGTGTCTTGCTTAGATGATCTAGACAGTGTTAGCCTTTTCCCCACTGACAGACATACTTGCTGCTTAAAAAATAAGATCCTTGCTAAAACAGTATCTTTGAAATGCAAAATAATGCTAATCCAGTGATATGCAGCCATGTGACATGTCTGTCTGTGTAAGTCTATGTGATAGGTACGTTCCCAATCAGGAAATGCTGGCATATCTGCATTCCCAAACTGTGACTGTGGAACAAGATATGATCAAATTGTGTTCTTGATTATAGCATATTCTAAATGGAAGTAGTTCTTTTGTTGGAAGCTTAGAGTAGTCTTCAAGTCTAACACTTAAATGCTTAGTCCTGGACTCAATGCTGTGATTATTTTCTTTTCATAAGGAATTTGGTTATGGTTTTCCTAGTCTTCATTAACTGCTAGAAACTGAAAATAGTTGTGTTTATGTTTCTCGTTAGCTTGAACTTCAGTGTAACCTTACTGTAATTAATGCCATTACGGATTCACATCTGTAGTCTTGCTCAAGGAAAATGGCTTCATAGCCATTCCAAATATCTTGGACAATGGAGAAACGAAAACACATGCCTGCATTTCTGTTGAACCAAAGGTTTGTTTGAGCTTTTTATTTTTAAAAAGCTAAGGAAATGTTCTGGTTCCGTCACATCAAGCTTTGCAACAGCTTGACTCCAGTGCAGTAGTGGGTACTGGTGAGATTTTTCTTTTCATCATTTTTGCAACAGATTTTTAGAAGTATCTTCATAATTGTTAATCTCCTGCTTCAAGGGCTTTGCTCTGGTTTCAGATTAGTATATTCTAATAAAAAACCCCAATTAAAATCCTTTTGGAAGACGGTGAAACTACTATTAAGCTAGTGTGGTGCATATGTAAAAATAAAAAGCTCCCTACTATCATTTTAAAATAACATCGTTTTTAAAGTTCTAGAAGGTCTTGAGTTATTACAGGTTGGATTTTTTTTTTCTGAAGGTCTTGTGAGTTTGAGGTTGTGTCTCTTAGGAAATGTTCCCAGTGAGAATTTCACATAATTAGTAGTGTGTATTTAACATATGTGACCAAGGAAGATCACTTGAGTTGTTTTAAAATGTTCACAGTTCAATATCTCAAATACCAAGTCAATACTTGTCTTATTATATTGATTTGCTGGGGGTGTGGAGTAGTTCATGTAGTTCCCGCTTGCTTTTGTCAAATTTTGTGCTAATAATGTGTTTTGTGGGTGCAACACTATACAGACATTTCAGCTTCCCTAAAGTGGTATCCTGTATCTCTGCGGAAAACTTGCATGTCACGTTGTGGTACAGATAGCGTAACGAAGGACATTTGAAATGAAGAGAAGAGCTTGTATTTGTTGTCAGAGGCAGTGGAAGAATTAAAAGAAAAACAAGATGTGATCAGAGGAGTGGCTAGGAAAAAAGCTTGTGTCTGTGAATGCTACAGGGAGGGGGGGGGGAGGGGGGGCATTAGCATATTTCAAGGGAGGTGGGGGGGAGTGATTGAGAAGCTAGAACATGGAAGATTGTTGATCATCCTGTTTGTGAGAATGAATTCAATCAAGTTATGAAACTAGAGAGTTAATACTCAGTACAGATAGGAAAGCCTACAGGGATGTGTATGTTGATGGTGACTAGATTACAGCCTAAAGTGACTGGCAAGATGGTGGTACATGTAAAGAAGAGAGATTTTTAAGCTAGGTATTTTAAAATGTTAACAAGTACTCAACATGCCTTGGGCTTACGTAAATACATGGGATGTGGCTCCTGATCTTTCTAAGCTGGTATTTGTTCCTTTTCATATCTGTAGTTTCAGCTGCATGCAGCAATTTGTGAGAGTTGCTGAAAATGTTTTCCACTGGATGTGATAGTTCAAAGATCCTGACCTGTAACAGAGATTGGACTCTGGGAGGAAGTCTTTTTTACAGAAGAAAAAAAAAAAAGCTGACAGTGCAGCTGAGCCAAGCCTACTTAACTAAGGTGAACAGTCTGTAGCATGAGGGAGTATCATTAGTTTGACTGTTAGTTGAACTCAGTAACTTTAAAGATGGGCAAAAAGTGGATGTCTCTAGAAGCTCTGAGAATCAGGAGTATAAGTATTTCTGTGTATTCTAATCAACTTCAAACTGTGTTTTTTTGGTAGCCTAAGCTACTTGCACTCTCATCATGAGTCTTTCATTGCTCTGTTAATATTCTGCCTCCACTTCATGCATGGATTATCATTAGAGAATAATGTTACTTGAATAGAAGGAAGACACGTTATGTAATACTGTTACTGTACTGTCTTTCTATAATCTGTTTTTTGTGAGAAATAGATTTCAAAGATGCGATATATGTATTACCTTCACTGCAATGTAAAGACATCCTGGCAATGAAAAAGCCATTGTAATAATGTTTGTGTAGTGCAGGGATTAATAATACTTTTACAGATGAGTTACAACCTAACCTTTTGCATTACTAATGAATCTGAACAAATCATGGGATAATTAGTGTTGTAATGGTATAAGCACTAATCATTATTTTTATAGCACATGTATATTATTTCTTATGTAGGTAGAAGGCAGAATTCTAGGACATCTTACTGCTATTCAGATCCTGGGCTGCTTGAAGGTCAGTTTGATCATGCAACACAGTGCTTTTGCTTTTGATATCCAACCAACATTTGCAACACTTTTCTGACACAGTCAGGGATTTGATGTGCTACGAAGGATATTGGCAGATAATGGTGGAAGTATGTGCTGCACTTGAAATCCCTATTCTACATTTCTGTTAAGTATGAGTAGTGTTTTAGCTTTTTTTTTTTAGTACTGGAAAAATGTAGATGTGGGCTGTGTGCTACTCTCCCGGTTTTTAGGAGACACCTGAGGTTGAGTTGAACAGGTCTTAAACTTTCTCTGGTTAGAGACCTATACAGTTGTTTATGGAGCTGCACCTGAGTTAATGTCTAGTGGGTTTATGCTGGAATCTCAAAAATTTCAGCTGTGTACACTTGACCAGTCTCCTGCTTCATAACCAATATAAAACTTGTGGCAAATGTTTGCACGTGCTTATTATCACTGAGTTTAAAATGATGCAAGAAGATTAAGCAAGGTTTGAAGGTGTTGGAAATATCTACTGAACCGTGGCTAGTCCTGCTATGCTTTCCTGTTATTTTCAGCAACTGCATCAGGCAATTGCAGAGGTAACTGAGTACGGCTTGAGGGTTGGATCTTCTCTTAGCAGTAGCATTTTGTGGGCTGCTGTGTTGCAATGAGATCCTAATAATTAGGCATAAGTAGGACTGCCGCCACCTTTAAGGACCCAACTGAGATCCAGAAGGGCTTTTTGCACTCTTAACTTGTGACTGTGCAGGACAAAGATAATGTACAGATGGTTGTGTGGGCCAAAAATCTATGCTAGATCTGTGACATTAGTGTTTGACGTTGACATCTGTGGCATTACACACCTGTTGAGTGTAACTGGCAGTCACAGTAGAATGTTGTTGGTAATGCGTGTGGTGATTAAGATCTTTGTCTTTTCAGTACTGTTGTCGCTGCAGGACTAGCAGGAGTTAAAAGCGGTAATGCTTCATTAGAGCCACTTAAGTGAGCAACATGGCTGTGATACATAGTGAGCAGACTTGAGTGGGTAGGAACCATTTTTACAGTAGTTATTATGATCTACTACATTTTAAGGACTTCTGTATTTGTGCTGATTTCTAATACTGTTTAGCTTAACGCGTACAGGTCAGCCAACTCACATTTTGTTGTGTTATAGTTGGGGGATTCATCTGTCCCCACCAGGCATGAGTCTTATGTAAACATATGGTGAGAGACAGCTACTGCCTCAAGGCTCCTTATCCTTTAAAGGTAATGTGAACATGAGTGTTTGTAGGATTCATACCTAAACTAAAAATGAGACGGAGTGAAAAAATTGAACAGTTGCAGCAGCAGAGTGGCAGGCTTATTGATGTGAGGTCTCCGTTACAGGTTTTTTGTCCCCGAGACAGTTGGTGTCCAAAGCAGCAGGGAGGGTTAATGTGAAAATTCATTTATTTCCCTTCTGGCTGCTTTGTACCACTTAGTGTTAGGAATCGGGAGATGCTGCAGTTCTTTCTGGTTTAGGGAAGTTCCCAAAGAGCGTGAAACCAGCATAGCCAGCTCATGCAGTTGGGGTTTGCCTTTAGCATATGTTGGGGGCAGCATTTGGGTAAACAGTCCCCATGTACATCTGCAGCATTTCATGCTCCAGTAATTCCTACCCGGGGGTGATGATCTTTAAGGGTTTTTTTTTGTGTGTGTGTGTATGTGTTTTTTACTGTTTGTAGACGCTGGAGTAGCCTACAGGTCTCAGGATTCACCGAGTCATCTTCTTCCACCAGCATACAAAATTCAGACTTGCTTACATGTGACCTCATGCACGTATACACTGGTGTCTAGGCTGACCTCTGTCAGGAAGTGTAGGCTAGATGGATTGTCATTCTGCTTTAGTGTGTCAGCCCTCTCACATTTGTAGAATAGACCCTGTACTCCCATTATATTTGTTCCTCATATTTTAGCATTGTCCTATTTTAATTATTTGTACCTTGAAAATTAAGCGCTATTGTTGTTTCAAAACCTGGAATTGTTTTTACTTTTGCTTTTTCAGTTATGTCCTGTCTTGGTAGCTCTCCAGTTTCATCAGGAAATACAGTATACTTGACAGACGAACTGTGTCAGCAGGCTGTAAGTTAAATTCCGAGGGGGACTTGAGCCTTCAGGGATGCACCAGTATATTTTCTGGGAGAGTGTAGATCTTCTTGAAACCTTCACATTTTATGTAAGCAGAATCTAAACAAAAGCCTTTTTTGGAGACAATGGCAATGTTATTATGCCTGTGATCTTACCCTCTGTTAGTGATAGACATACCAGATGCAGAGTAGCTAGGCAAGCTGTTTTTGTGATGCATTTTCAGAAGCAACTGTGTTTTGAGTCCTTTAGGTTATAACATTTAAGATAATCTAGGTGTAGCCTAGATTACACCTGTAGGGTGCAGGGATTTATAG